AGAGAGAGAGAATCCTGTGTGCTTGCATGTCTGAGCAAGTGGGTCGGTGTGTGCAGTGTGGGGGTGCTCGTGTTTGTGAGGGTGTGAGTGACCAGGGCGGCATCTGAGTGGGAATGCTTGTGTGCAGTGACAGCGCTCGTGTTTAGGAGCAAGTGTGAGAGGGTTTGTGAACCTGGGTTTGTGTGTTCCTGTGTGAGAGACAGACAAGAGGACGGAGGGATGAAGGCAGGCTGGGTGGTGGCGGCCTCCTAGGTTGGCCTCTAGGGAGGTCAGAGACAGACTCCAGGTCTGAATCCTGGCTTGCTGGCCTGCTGACTCTGGCATGGTACCTCTGTCTGAACTTCTGTCTCCTGCGCTGTGACACAGGTCCTGCTGTCCCTTATTTCTGGGTGTCAAGAGGAGTCAATAAGATGTGAGCTGAGCTTCCACTGTAGTTCAGGGCAACAGGACACCTTTAGGTAAAGGCCATGGTGGCTGTGGGTGACCCTCCCCCCGCAGGTGGGGATTGTGGAAGCCCTAGGAGCCCCTGCCTCTGGGGAGGGAAGTGAACTATGACTCAATCCAGCCTGGAGGGCTCCCAGGTGAGGTGAGGTCCCAGGTCCCCAGAAGCCCAGGAAAACAGGAGCAGAAAGTGCTTGCAGCCCCTTGGGCCACTCTCCCTGAGAGACAGGGAAGTAACCTGCAAGGGGACCGGGGACACTAACTGGAGTTCAGGACGGGGAGAAAGGCCATGGGGATACCTCTTGGCCCCCTTCAACAGTGAGTGTGGGTGGAGCGTCAGGGTTGGTTCTCAGCCTTGGGCTTATGTAAGGTTTCTTTCTTTTTGGCGGCTCTGGGGTTTGGCTCAGGGCCTCATGCTCCAGGCTTATGTAGGGTTTCGAGTGTCAGATTAAGACATACTCATTCAAGAAGAGTTAGAAAAAACAGAAGCGCAAAGAAAATCTCCCATGCCGGTGGTGCACTCCTGTAATCCCAGCTACTCAGGAGGCAGAGATCAGAAGGATCACAGTTTGAAGCCAGCCCAGGCAAATAGTTCACGAGACCCTAACTCGAAAAAAACCCATCACAAAAATGGGCTGGCAGAGAGGCTCAAGGTGTAGGCCCTGAGTTCAAACCCCAGTACCACAAAAAGTAAAAAAGCAAAGCAAAGCAAACTTCTCAGAAATAACAACCATTAATAGCTTGGTGTGGGGCCATCAAGAATGATCTCTGGGAGGGTTTGGTGCACACAGACCACGCCTGCCACACACACACATTCCCCTAAATGGGATCGTACAGTACCCACTATTCTGAAATATGCTTCACCAAATGGCTGTAGACAGGTCTCAGGCATGCTAAGTCCTGTTTGTTAGCTGTTACCATTGTCGGACAGCTACAGAGGCAGGCTGGTCAGCTCTACTTATGTTTGTTGACAGTTTTTCATCTTTTGTGATTCACCTGTGCATGTCCTTTGACCATGTTGCCAATGGTGTTTTTGTCTTTTCTTTTTAATTTTATTTTATCATTTTTACATTTATTTACATGTGAATACATTTGGGCCACATTTTTGTCTTCTTGTTATTGGTTTTTGACAGTTCTTTATATATTAAGGTTATCCCTCTCTCTACATTGGCTAGTCAGAGTGACTCCTAAACCCCCCTGTGGAGTAGGACTAAGGCACAAGACCTTACCGGGATCTGAGCTCTGGGCATTTGTCCCCAGGTTCCCTATTCAGCTGGAGAACACTCGGGCTGGCTGGCCAGGCAGTGAGGGGCAGTGGCAAGGAAAGAAAAGGGTCAGAGCCCATTAAGACTCTGAGTGACAGACAGAGCCTTAATGGGAGGCAGATGGAGGAAATAAGGTTGCCCTTGCTGACAGGAGGGAGGTCAAGGGGTGTAGAGCTTTCTAAAGATAGGAGCCTGGACGACAGCCAGCCAGAGGTCCTGGCTCCACAGCGTGGTGCCCAAGGGCTGGGAGAGGGCAGAGGTCAGCCCCTCCCTTCTGCATATGCAGACCCTCTCCAGCCCAGAGCCAGAGGAGCTGGGAGGGTGCCCCAGTCCCAAGACCAGATGTATAAATAGGTGACATAAACCAGGTTGGAGTCTGAACCCAGCTGTGCAACGTTGGGTGGGTCCCCAAACCTCTCTGAGCTGCAGTTTTCTTGCTTGTGAAATGGGTTATAGTCTCATCTGCTTAAAAGGACACCACAGTAGTCGGTACGTTGATATTTACTGGCACATAGAAAGGACTCCATAAATCAAAGTTAATTCTTGCTATTGTCACTCTAAGTGTCACCCCTCGCCCCTCTCTGCTGGCCACTGGAATGTTCTTCATTGGATCCAATGTCTGAGCTGGGAGGGCCCTCGAGTTATAGCTGAGGAAACTGAGGCCCAGGTAGACCCAGTAGGATTCGTTGTATCCGTCCTTTAAAGCGTTATGTTCAAGTCCTAACCTGGGGACCTATGACCTTACTTGGAAAAAGGGTTATGATGAGGTCGCGCTGGATTAGGGTGGCCTCCGAATCCAATGACTGGTGTCATTTAGAAAGGGAGGGGCAGGTTGAACCAGGACACAGGCCCAGAGAGGGGCAGTGTGAAGACTGAGAGGTGGGCAGTGACAGGACCCATGCTGCCACCAGCTGACAGTGGCTGTGGCTGGAAAAGGCAGAAATGGGAACTTCTCTGGAGCCTTTTTTAGGGAGTGTGGCTGCCGACACCTTGAATTTGAACTTCTATGCCCCAGAACTGTGAGAGGATAAATTTCTATTGTCATAAAACATCAAGTCTGTCATACATTTGGCCCTCAATATCCCCGGGTCCATCCACAGATTCAACCAACTGCAGCATGAAATATTTGGGGGAAAATTGTGTCTGTATAGAACTCATAAGGTTTTTTCTTGTCATTTTCCCTGAAACAATACGGTATAACTGCTATTCACGTAGCACTGCCACAGCCTCAGGTACCGTAAATCCCCTAGAGATGAGCTAAAGCCCGCGGAGGATACGCACAGGTTCTTTGCCAAAGCTATATGCTATCCGATGCAAGGGACTTGTGCAACCGTGGGCTCTCCTGTGGGTCCTGGAACCCATTCCCCGTGGAAACTAGGGACAATAGCACTTGGTTGCTATAGCCACAGGAGAAGTGGGTGAAGCAAGGTACAATGCAGGCTTCCCCACCCAGCTCTGCCCCAGACTCCCAGCTAGATGCTGAGTGCCCTTGGGTAGATCAGGCCTCAGTCTTCTTAACCGCCTGATGGAGCCCAATGATAGAGGGAATGTGCCGCCCCTGGGATGCCTGTAAGGGGACTGCACCATCCAGGAACTTGCCATGTTGAGGGGGTGGGGTGTCTGGAAGGGTAAATCAGGAGCAAGTTTTTCCAAACCCCCAAGGTAATACCTGGGGAGACTGAGGCACACCCAGAGCAGGGGCCCCATCCACATGGTCATTGCCACAGGTGGGAACTCAGGCCCTTCTGATTTACAAGACAACCTGGACATTTCCCTTCCTCTGTGGGCAAAATGTCCCAATGTCATTCAGGGCGTTTCTTCCTGGGGCCAGAACCAAGGTGGACCTTGTGGCCTGTAGCTGGTTTTGGGAAGCCCATGCTGAGATCGCCCTGAAGGGGCTTCATCTGGCAGCCCACCTTATCCCTCCTTTCTGCAAAATGAGGCATTTGACTGCCTGATGGCACAGAGTCTGATCTGCACACCTTTGTTTATAGGAATAGTGAGCAATTATCCGGCCCCTGCTGCATACTCCGGCCTGTGGGGTTCCCAGAGCCCAACCTTGTCATGCTTTGGGGTTGTTTTCTGTATGTTATTCAGTGTTTAATCATAGACAAATTGGGCCGTTCGGAACGCTCCTTTAAAGCTTGTTTCGGGGTTGGGCAGGCGTTATCCTCTGAAACCCGGGAGACTCCAGGTCCGCAGACCGGAGGTACTGAGGACCACGGCTGGGATGGCAACGCTGGAGCGCCAAGGCCCCTTCACAGCCGGCTTTCCAGGGTCATGAAAACTTCGGGGCTCCGCTGCGGACGCAAGGCTCAGACACTGGTCTGGGGCGATGCCCGGGCCCACACGGGCGCTCCTTCTCCTAACTCAGGAACCCTGGCCCAGGATCTCAGGCGGGCACGGTTATCCCCAATTTACAGACGAAGTGTGGGTTCATTGAGTCCATCAAGGCGAGAAGTGGACGAAGCGGGCTGCCCGCCCAGGAGCCGCGGGACAGAGAGTAAGGGACGGTGCCTACCGCCCGTGGGAGTAGGTGGGCCCAGGGTCCTCATCAGCCACTCGGCATGCCGGTGGGGACAGAAATGGCCGCAGCCCGTCCTGGGGAAGAGGCCAGAGCCGGGCTAGGCGGCGAGAGCGGGGCCCACGTCGCCTCCCCTCGGGGAGCTGGGCAGTGGCCGCACCGCGCGCTGTGGCGGAGCTCGGACGGCGCCCAGCGGCCGCGCTCGGGATCGCAGGGCGGGGCGGGGTCGGCGGGCCGCGGCGCGATGCTCGGCTGGGCGGAGCCGCTCCGGGAGGGACACCAGAAGATCCGCCTGGGTGACTCTCCCCGGCGCCCCCGCGGTCCTCCGAGGCGGCAGGGGGCGCTGTGGCCGCACAAGCGCGCCCCAGAGCCGGCGCGGACCGGAAGTGTGAGTGCCAAGGCTACTTCCGGCGCGGAGCAGGGACCTGGGCGGCAGAGCTGGTGGGTTGCGGGGTCTGAGCCAGCAGAGCCGGGCGGGGCCCGCGGCCGCTGGAGCGCGTCTCGGCCTCGGCGGGACGCGCAGCCGTCGCGATGCCGTTCCTGCACGGCTTCCGGAGGATCATCTTCGAGTACCAGCCGCTGGTGGATGCCATCCTGGGCGCCCTGGGGATCCAGGACCCCGAGCGGCAGGAGCCCCTGGACGGGTGAGTCGCTCCCTCCTGTCTGCGCGCTGTGAGTCCCACTTGGTCACTCCGAGCCCGCCAGGGCTGGGCGGGGCGGCTGGTCCCCTCCCCCTCCCGATGCGGAGACTGCGGCGGGAGCCGGAGCAGCGGGGCGGAAGCCGCTGCAGGCCAGTGCCGCTAGGGCCTCGGTTCTGACCACAGAGCAGCGCGGAGAAGAGCCTTTGGCGGCTGAGTGCATTTTCTGTCGCCGGAGCAGGCCTCTGCGTGAATCTGGGGAAGATGCTGGGAAGCGAGCGGTCGCTGTGCACGGTGCATTGTGCTGGGCATCTGGCCTACTCGGTGTGCCTAACCGGGCCCCAGCCTTCCGGGTGCTTGGGCCGCGGAGAGAGGCATGTGTGGGGAAGAGCGAGGAAGGGCGGACGGGGGATCATTTGATTATCAGCCTCGCCGGCGATCTTGGTGGAAAGCACTTTCTTATCACTGCATCCTTTCTGTTTCCTTTGAGGCCTGCTCAGAAAATGTAGTGCAGGGTTTGCTGAACCCCCAGACTCCGAGGGGTGAGGCCGCGCAGCAAAAGGTGACTGCACTACATATCGGGGAGCCCAGCCACCTGCAGGGACTGTGCTACAGATGTGCGTTTTGTGTCATGGTGCCTGGAGCGCCTCCGGGGCGGGGGTCAGCAGAGGGATGCGACGAAATCTTGGACCAGCCATTGGAAGGAGACTTGTGGGTGAGACTAGTGGAGAGCGAAGGAAGCACCGGTGGAGAGGGGAGCTGGCGGCTTCCGAAGGAGTTTGGGACATTGCTAGGGCTACTTGCAGGCCCTGGAGCTGTCTCCAGGCCTGAGCTTTTAGGGAAAGTATGGCAGCTCTCTAGAGGTGGTGCAGGCCAGGAGGCCGAGGCCTCGCATCTTCAGCTCAGACAGGGCAGCGTGTTTGAGTGCAGACGCCTTCTGAGGAAGGAGCGGCAGGTCTGCTTCTGCTCCTGGTCTTCACGGTTCTGCCCAGTGTCACCTGCAGGTGAGACTGAGCAGGGGACCAGCTGCTCCCAGCAGCATGGCAGAGAATTGCAGACAGGCCCCGGTCTTTCGCAGTATGCCTGAGGAGTGGCCTTTTCTCCATTTCAGACCTTGTTCCGGGAAGACTCCCCATAGGCCGGGCCGTTTCATGGGTGGTTACGTTAGGGCACTAAAGGCCATTGCACACACAGGGTGCCCAGGCAGGCCGGTTCTGACCCTCAGCCTCTGCCTCTTGCTGCTCCAGGCCTAGTTATGTTGCCAGCGAGGAGAGCCGAATCCTTGTCCTCACCGAGTTGCTGGAGAAGAAGGCGCACTCTCCGTTTTACCAGGAAGGCGTGAGCAATGCTCTCCTGAAGATGGCGGAGCTGGGGCTGACCCGGGCAGCTGATGTTCTCTTGCGGAATGGGGCCAACCTCAACTTTGAAGGTCAGCTAGAGCCCAGAGGGGCTGGAGGTGGCTAGGAGGCAGATTCTGCTTTTACTGTTTTTTAGGGGTCAGTGGCCTCGCACCCCCAGGGGCTTTCAGGTGGCTTTAGCACATCTGTGCCCACAGCGTGTGGCTGCTTCTCCCACATGACTGAGTTAGCAAACTTGCCCAGCTCCCAGGTTAATCCCACTCCCATCAGGGTGAAATGCGGCTGCTGGCACTGTGCCCAGAGCAAAGGGCAGGCGATTTTCTGCCGCTTGGAGCCATACTGCATTTTCACCAAAGCCACAGAGGGGGAAAGAGATAAGCTACCTTGGGTGGCAGCTCACCTTCTAGCTGACAAGTGCCAGGATCCTGAGGGGCCACCTTCCTGTCCTCCACTTGGGAAAGCAGGGGAGGCAGAAGGCAAATAGGGCTGCTAGCAAGTGAGTGGGGGTCAGGGCTGACTGTAGTGTCAGCCTGTCTTCCCTGCCCTTTGGAGGTGTCTGGACACCTCAGATGGGAGTGCTGAAGCTGGGCTCGAAAGGCCAGGTCCTGGGCCTCTGAGAATATGCCATGCAGGACTGACCCAAGCTGCCTGTGCCTTCAGACCCTGTCACCTACTACACTGCCCTACACATTGCTGTCCTGCGAAACCAGCCTGACATGGTAGAACTGCTGGTGCGCCATGGGGCTGACATTAACCGGAGGGACCGGGTAAGAGCCAGCAGCCTGCTGGAGGGGGGTAAGAGGGAGGTACAACAGGGTCCGAGTGGCCTTGCAGGCCTCAGGCCAACATGGCTGGTGCTGTCTTGGCTCAGATCCACGAGAGCAGTCCCTTAGATCTGGCCAGCGAGGAGCCTGAGCGCCTGCCCTGCCTGCAGCGCCTCCTGGACCTTGGCGCAGATGTGAACGCTGCTGACAAGCATGGTGAGTGCCTCTGTAGGAATGCAGGACAGCCTGGGAGGACAGCTGGATGAGCAGCTGGATGCTGGCCACAGCTGATGTTGCAGCATGGCTGGGTGCACAGGTAGAGTCTGCTGACTTGACTGCGTCCAGGGGCTTTTGAGAGGCTGCGATCATTGTCCCATGCCACCAGAGTGCTGCCAGTAGGATGAAATGCGTAAGTGCACCCAGCCTCTGAGGAGCGATGGCTTCCTGTTGGGAGACCTAATCTTGGTCTTGGGGAGCATCTCTAGTGCAGGAAAATGCTGGCTCTGTTCATCTTCTGTTCTCACTCTGTCCCCCTCAACCCTGGGAGTTTTCAAGTCTTCTGATCCCGAGTGTCCATTCTGCCTCCACCTTGGAGTGTTCTCCAGCCTTGACATCACAGCCTCCCACCCCTTCCTCTCTCTCCTAGGGAAGACTGCGCTGCTCCACGCTTTGGCCAGCAGTGATGGGGTGCAGGTCCATAACACTGACAACATTCGGCTTTTACTGGAAGGAGGTGAGGATCAGCGTGGTCCCTGGTCCTTTCACCCACAGCAGTTCCTGTGGGCCTCTGCTCCCTTCAACTTAACTTGGCAAATGTTGGAGGCTGCCTGTCACCTTCTGTTCTAATGTCTCTTCCAGGAGCAGATGTCAAGGCCACGACCAAAGATGGAGACACCGTGTTTACCTGCATCATTTTCCTGCTCGGTGAGACCTGTGGGCGGAGACAAAGAGGAGGCCCAGATGATCAACCGCTTCTGCTTCCAAGTCACGCAGCTGCTGCTGGCCCATGGGGCTGACCCCAGTGAATGTCCAGCCCATGAGTCCCTCACGCACCTCTGCCTGAAGAGCTTCAAGCTGCATTTCTCCCTCCTGCGCTTCCTGCTGGAGTCTGGGGCTGCCTACAACTGCTCCCTGCATGGCGCGGCCTGCTGGTCGGGCTTTCACCTCATCTTTGAGAGGCTCTGTTCCCACCCAGGCTGTGCAGAGGATGAGAGCCACGGGGAGCTCCTGCGCAAAGCTGAGACTGTGCTGGATCTCATGGTGACCAACTCCCAGAGGCTGCAGCTGCCCGCAAACTTTGATATCCACCCAGTGGGCAACCTGGCAGGAAAGATTCAGGCCCTGCACTCCTCCCTGAAGCAGCTGGAGCGCTACCCGCCACCACTCAAGCACCTGTGCCGTGTGTCCATCCGGCTGTACCTGCAGCCGTGGCCTGTGGATGCAAAGGTCAAAGCTTTGCCCTTGCCTGATAGGCTCAAGTGGTACCTCCTCAGCGCACACAGCAGCAAAGAGGAAGACGACAGTTGACATCTCTTGTGAAGGGACAATCCAGGCAGCTGGAGCCAGCTGTTGGCAGACTTAGAACCTGTGACAGCCTCTGGACTGGTCCTTTGATCTGGGCAAAGACCTGCCCCATACTGAGCACAAAGCCTCAGGTAACACCCCGAAGCTATGACCATTCTGGAGGTCAAGGTTGTGGCTGTCTTCCAAGGAGACTGTCCCCTTCTCTTGAGCAGCATCCCCAAGTTTCAGCGCACATTCTCCAGTGTGAAGGTAGACTAGGGGTGAATGCCCTCTGCATTTGCAGGGGAGGGCAGCACCATCTGGTTTGTCCTGTGGGGAGATGCAGCGGGGCCTTCAAGAGGGAGGCCAGAGAAGTGCACTGTGATGTGTAGCTCAGCTGAGGCCCAACCCACTTTGCCATTCCAGATTGTCACTCACAAAGTGCTTCTGCTGAGCTGGGGGAGAAGGCACTGAGGGCTGACACAGGCTTTTCTACTGGTATGGAAGGCCTTGGGTCACCTGCAGCCCCACACAAGGCACCAGGGCTGGGCTCTGGTGCAACTGTGCTCATGCCAAGCCCATGCCTTGGAGAAAACTCCTTCTGCTAAAAAGTAATCTTGAGTGTGTAGCCAGGGATGGTCCTGTCCCAAGGGTCTGGAGCAAGCCACCAAGACTAGAAGCCAGCTGTACTGCCCAATACAGAGCCCTTGCTACTTCCAAGCTGCTTTGCTCATTATGACTTGTGCAAATGCCTTTGAGAACAGACTGAGGTGGTTAAACGATTTATTTATATTAAAAAATTAAACTGGCTGTCCTGGCCTTAAAGGTGCTTGCAGAACATTTCAGCCCTGCTCCTCCCCACTTCAGGATAAAGGACCCACAATAGCCACTAGGGGGGAGGCCTGAAAGGATGTGGCAGTTGGGGGAATTTTCAAGTCACCTGACACATGTCCCCATAACGCACCACTCCAGATTAGCTAGGGCCTTCAAAGTATAGGGGTTCTCCTTTATTTTTGACTTGAAAACGCCTGCCCAAGAGGAATCCCCAAATATGGTGAAGAGATTGGACACTGCCCATTACTGTAAGTGGCAGCACCTGGCCAACAGTGCAGATGCCCACATCTGCCCCAGCCTGGCCCTTGCTCCCCGCTAGGTAGGTAAAGTTGTTCCTTCCCCTTAAGGCAGTTAGGGCTCCAGGTGGGAAGCTCAGCTTCTGGTGTGATCACCAGATCCCTATGTAGGGAACACGTGGGAGCTGCATAGCCCTGGCCTGTATGGCCCAATTGGCACCTCTGCACGGCAAGGCCAGGTGCCTGCCTTTCTGCCCCCTCCCTGCTGGGTCCCATTTTGCCTTTTTAAGAAGAGCCTGTTAAGTAGGTGGACAGCAGACAGGTGTATTTAGTGGCAGATCTTGCCACTGCCAGCCCCCACCCTAGCTCCAGTCCCTGGCTTTGTCAGCCAGCCTGGCTCATCTCAGGGCAAAGCTGTAGACATGGTAGATTTCATCGGGGAGGTTCTCCTGCCTCTCCTCGGCCAGGAGGCTGAGGCCCGCGCTGCGGACAATCCTGCGCACCACCTCCAGGTCTCGGCACACACTGCTGTCCACATCATCCAGGATCACGCCTTCCTGGGCCATGTTGTCTTTGATAACGATGATGCCGTTGGGGCGCAGGCCCCGCTTGCAGCGCCGCAGGAACTCTGCCAGGTGCTGATCGGTCAGGTGGCCTGGCAGGGGGAGAGGCGTGGTTACTGGGGGTGATGTGAGCAGATGCAGGTCACTGCACGGAATGTCTTTCAGCCACACTTCCCTTATGCCTGTACTTCATGTTTCCCACATGGCCTCACAGGTTCTCAGTAGTTCTAGCCCCTTTCCTGAAGGAGATGGTACCACACAAAAGCACATGCCTGAGTGTCTTCCAGCCCAGTATCCCCCACCCCACTCCTCATCTCCCCAGGCCAGGAGCAGGGAGTGCACCAGGTCTAAATGTTGGGAGTGTCCAAGATAGCCTTCCCTCCATTGCAAGTCCACAGGCTTCCTGGGGACTGCAATATATGTGGCCAGGCCCAGAGTGTCCACAGCAGGGCTCTACTGCCTACCTCATGAGGAGTGGCTAAATGAGGGTACAGAGAGGCCTGTCTGCCATGAGGTCAGTCCCTTAGGGCACAGTATTGGGACTGAGCTATTAAGCTAGCTGTGTGCAGGATGGGACAGCAAAGCAGGGATCACTCACTGTAAACAAAAGCAGCCACAATTTACACTTTCCATCTTACTTTAAAAACCGTGGCTGGGCATGGTGGAGCATGCTGGTAATTCTAGTGCTCCGGAGGCCGAGCTAGAAGACCACAAGTCTGAGGCCAGAATAAAGAAATAAATGAAATCCTTACAAAACTTCCACTTCTTTGATTCAGTAATTGGTCACTGAAAGTTTCTTGAATAAAAAATTGTCCTGGAAGGGCAGCAAGTGTTGAGGTGAAACAGTCTAAGAGGGGAAGGGGCTGTGGCACAGGAACCCAGGGAGTGGGCATCAGCAAAGCCTGGGCCCCCAAAGCCTGTGGGGAACTGAGCAGGGGGCAGATGGGTAGGGCAGGATGACCAATGCAAGCCTTACCTATCACCCACTGGATCCAGATCACGTCATAGGAATTGGGCTCCGGGCTGAAGTCCTGCAGTCCACAGCAGAAGTAGTTCCTCACCCTCTTGCCCTCCTCTCCCAGGTAGGTCTTGGCTTTGGCCAGAAAGTCCTCTGTCATGTCCACCATGTCCACCACTCTGAACAATGGCAGGAGCAGCCGCTTGGTGATCCTTCCGATGCCAGCACCACAGTCCAGGGCACAGGAAGTTCCTGTCTTGTTTGGGCCTTCCTAAAAGGCAAAGAAGGTACATGACTCACAGCAACCCTGTCACCGCCAAAGGGCCCTTCCTTACACCAGGTGGAGAGGGGCATGTGTGACACTCCTGGGCCACACATTTCTAAGGCAGAAGGCAACTTCAACTTAAAGGAGAGAAAGCTGCAAAGCGTGTGCGAGTCTCCTCCCTTGTGAGGAAGATGACAGTGCTGAGAATAAGAATTCAAACCATGCAGGAGACAGTGAACCAGCTGGGAAGGTGGCAACTGGCACCCTCCAGTGTTGCCAAGAGAGGTGAAGGGGCAGCCACCCCAGGGAGACTCCAGTCTTGGGCACAAAGGAGGCATGTAGGGAACAGCAGGATGGCGAGTAACCAGGGGCTTTGCGAGCACAACAGCCAGCTGAAACCCAGAGCCCCAGCACCCTTGGATGCAGTAGGGGGTCCAGCCCTGGCGACTGAACAGTCAGAAGATTGCTCACTTCTGCCACCTGCCAGTCCCCAGCGTACACCCAGCTCCTGCCTGGTGGCTGAAGCAAATCCAGTCCAGAAGTTGCACCCCCACCCCCACCCAGCTCTTCAGGGCCTTGGTGGCAGCCACCAAGAGATGAGCACAGCCTGCAGTGTTCTGTGTGGATGTGGCGCCCTGCAGAGCCCCACCGGTGCCACCAAAGCTATGGCCTCTCCTCTTGGAGAGGACATCAGACCTGCCTACCCTCAAAAACCTCTGCAGGAACTTCCGGGAGCTGTTCAGGTCGATGTTGGAGATGTGACCATACCCCCCAAGCATGCCGTCCACCGTGGGTGGGATCTGTTTCCAGTAGATCTTGGCCTTTGAGTAGAACTGCTTCTCGTCTTCTATCACCTCACTTGTCATGTTGTCACCAGCCACGTCTCTGTCAAGCACGGTACTCTGCAAGGGCAACTCTCCTAAGGAAAAGTGCAGAGTCAAGCCAGCTCCGGACTCCTCAGGGCCAGACCCAGTGTCTCCCCAGCTTTAAGGGCCACAAAACCATCTCTGGCACTGAGGTAACTCCAGCCTCCTAAACCTGCTGCTACCCCTTGAATGACAGCACCTCCATCCTGCACTCCAGTCATTTTGCAAAAGCCTTCACATTACAGCAAGAGACCCAGTGTCCTGGCATCTAGTTGCTGACCTGTCTACATGCCACCAGGACCCAGAATCCAAAACTACACTGGAGGGAAAGGACCCCGAACAGGAGCCACAGCCTCCAGCAGCAGACATCCTGTGGGCCTCAGGAGGCCTGAGCAGAACCCAGTCCTTTCCTCTTTGGCAGCACCAAAGCAGCTCAGGGTAAAGGCTAGCCCTTTCCTCAAGAGAAATAGGCACTGGTGTCAAGCACCAACCTGTGACTGAGGAGATGGGTGGGCAGGAGACAGGAACAAAGAGGAGTCCAACAGTGGAAAAGGCTAGAAAGCAAAGAGCAAGCTGCTGGAAGGGCACACGCCAGCAGCCATTGATGAAAGACTGGCAGGTGGCTGAATTAGCTGAGAGCCCTGGGTCTTCCAGATCCCACTTAGGAAAGCATCCTTCACCATGAGGAGCAGAGACCCAAGACTCAGGAGGGAGTGGCAGAAGACTGGGGCTTCCAAAGATTGCGGGCAGCTGTGGGGACAGCAGGGGTGGAGAAAAACAGACAACAGGGAGCCTCCATGGGCAGAGAGGGAGCCACAGGGCAACAGCACGGCCACCATTCACCACAGGGAAGGAGTGCTGGTCTGGCCACTCCACACCAGCCCAGCTACACTGTGCTGCAGAAGACAGAAGACCACAGTTCTCCTGAGTGCTGGGGCTTGGCTGCTGTACCTGCGATTACAGACCTCAGGCCCTGAGCCCAGGGCTTTCATGGTGCAGTAAGAGAGAGGAAATGGAAGCAGCTAAGACAGCAGAAAAACGAGGATTCCCGTGAGCCATAAGGGCCACACACGCAAAGAATGGAAATATCCTTTTGTTTGTAGTACTGCGGACGGAAGCCAGAACACTGCGCACGGAAGCCAGAACACTGCGCCTGGTCAGCAAACATCCCCACTGATCTGCACCCCTAGCCCTGAAGGAATCCTTTCTGAATAGTGAATGGACACTGGCCCAGAGAAGGCAGCCCAATCAGACCTTGATGGACAAGGAATGCGCTGCATATGAACCCAGGCATGGGCAGTGACAACAAGTGCCAGCAGAGAGGAAAGAGAAGTGGGAGAGAACACAGCAAGCCAGTCTGGTAAGGCAGACCAGCCTGGGTTCCAGCAGCCCAGAACACAGAGCTCCCCGCAGCCAAGGAGTGTGCTGGTCTAATCCGAGGGCAGAAGCTATGCTGACCAATGCAGGACAAGCAGCAGCAGGGACAACTGCAAAGACAGTGCCAGCCTGTGCAATGTCCGCACTCACTAAGCACTTTCCTTTGACTACAGGACCACTGCAGTTCATTCTGTGAGTGGCACCACAGTTACCCACGGTGCAGACCAGGGATCTGATGCAGCTTGTTCTCACCTCATGGGGCTCAGCTTAAGCGTTGCCTCAGAGGCCTTCCCTGACTAGCCCATCTGAAGTGCCTCCTTCAACACCCTGGGCCAATCCCTGTGGTTTGCTGTATCCAAGGTTTCCTTCCTGTCTTTCAGTCTCTCCTTAAGTGTCACTTCCAGGCAACAGGACCTGTCATTCACAGCTCACCACTGTGGCCCCAGGGCAAGCCCCCAGAGGCCCAGTGGGGTATCTGCTGGAAAGATGGAGCCCAGTGCTGGCTGTCAGCTCCTAGAAGGTGAGGGTGTCTTACCCCAGTGAAAGCCTGCAAGTGAGCTGGAAGCTCGAACCCTCCAAGAAAGTGGCACGCCTCAGCACCTGGGGCTCTCCCTGCACACTGCACGCAACTTCAGCAGGCAGAGGTTAAGACACTGATCCTGGAACTCCAGGTCACCACAGAAACAGTCACACGTGGAACTCTGGGAGGTCCTCAAAAACCAAAGGCAAAACCTTAGGACCATCAAATGCCTTAAGGGCTTCAAGAGAGACAGAAAACAGCAAAGGGCCCACTGACTAGCACAAGGCCTTCGGTACATAATTTTGAAATTGTTAGGATCAAAAGAAGGGTTATGAAACATGAGAAAAAGTGAAGTTCATTGGCAGTGTTTGATAGCAGCTCCCAATACACAATTATGTTCTGAACTTGTCTGAAGGAGGAAACTTCCAGAAGCAGCATGACCACCTCGGGCAAACAGATGAACACTTTATCTCATGCAATTCTGCTTCCATTCTGGGTAGCCTTTTCCAGAGCCCCAACAGCCACGGAGGCAAGGAATGGGCCACCAAGGTTGCTCAGAGCCGCTCCCCCAGCATACTCAGGGACTGTTCACAGACAAGGTCACACACTGCCTAAGGAGCCAGAAAGGAACTGCACACCTCCCAGGGTCCAGTTCCCCCCAAGCCTAGGACCCACAGAACCACCTCCCGTTCCCTGTGCTTAAATCCCACCTCACAGGGGTCCATGTCTGCATTACTGGGGATGGAACCTCTGAATTCTTGAATCAACCACACACTGAGTTGTCTCTTCACTCTTCAGGTACAGAATTCAGGGACACAATGAAAACACACTGTGGTCCTTACACCTTGTGGAGCCCTTGGGTTAATGGGCTGGGCGACCTTGGGTCTAAATACTGCATCCCGACCCTCCCCCCCCCACACTACAACGCTCCAACCCCATCATCCTGGCATTGGGAGCTATGGCCCAGGAAAGATAGCACAGCACACTGCTGAGCACAAACTCACTCCCACCGTGAGGTGTGTGGCAAGCAAAAGAATGTGGGACCTGCCTATCCCCAAGACTGACTGAACTGTGGCAGGCAGGACAGTGAATCATCATGTACCCGGTCAGGGTGTAGCAAGGGTGGAGGCTCAGGTCAGGTGGGCTGCCCACCCTCTGCCAAGAGGCACCACAGCAGCCATGTCCCAGCACCTCCAGTGACCACTCAGAGAGGGCTGCGTTCAAACCTCCCCCGGAGACGGCCCTACAGCCTCGGTCAATTGTGGCTTTGTGCTCAGATTTATCTCCCCTTGGGACTGCAGGTCCTCGGAAAGCAATGGCAACAGCCAAGGCTTATCACTGGTTCTCTTGTTTCCCAAGCAGCACGGATAGTCAACAGAGTACACATCGGAGCAAATGAACAGAAAAACTGGGGACCAAACACTCATGGACTGTACTCTGCCCACCTGTCTGGCCCCTACCCCAGGGTGGAAGCTTCCAGGGACACTATCTGCTACATCAGTAGCCCAGGGCTGGATGCAAGGAGGGATGATGGGAAGGAGCTTTATGCAGCTGCAGCTGTTTCTCACTTTTAATAAAACCCTTCGAACAAAAGTCCAGCCATTCAAAACTGGTAACACTGAAGGCTGTTACCGTCAATATAATTCTTTGCTTTACCAAAAGCCTTACAACATATTCCTTTAAATGTCAAGGTTCTCTGAATAATCTAATTTACAAGAATTCCACTTGCAGGCAGATTCTAGGAATGAGTGGGGAGGCACATCTAGGCTGGGAAATGACAAGTCTACCTCTGACATTTGCTCTAACAGTTGATTCATGAAAAACGGGACTCCAGGGGTCCTGCCCACCCTTGGCCCTCTAGTATCTATATCTGAGTGGGCCAGGAGGTTCCTAGGAGTTAACGGGAGCAGCAGAGTCATTCAGGCAGACAGCAGAAGGTCCTCCTGTGTGTGGCTCCAAGGCATAGTGAGGAGATACAGGGCCACAGGACCCAAGAAGGAGCTAGGGACATAGCACGGCTGTGTGCATGCTAGGCTAGCTCAGAAGGAAGAAAGACCCTTTGCTCATTGTTAATGTCTGCTCCTCAGTGGGCAGACGGTGACCTATCCATCCTCAACGTCACCTAGCCACTTTCTCCTCCCCCTTCCTCAGTGTGTAGGGCAACACCTGGGCAGCCGCCCTGGCTACTTGTCTTATCCCAGGACCCAGGGAAGAGAATGGTGCTTGAACTGTCACTAGCAGACCTTGTGGTCACGTGGTCCTCCTCATGTGACATTCCTAAGAAAAGGCCTGAAAGCAACATGAAGTCTGGAGGAAGGGAGGAAAACTGAAAAAATAAGGGAGAACTTTAAGCACAAAGCTGGGTTCAATCCCCAGTAACTTCAGGGGGAAAAAAAAGATCCCAAACCTCAGTGTTCAGTTTCTTTCTGCAGTGGGAAGAGTGACATTAACTTTTTGGAAAGACTGTGTGCCAATTAAATGTGCAGATGAGGGCAGGTGGAGTGGCCCCACTAGAGCACCTGCCTAGCAAGTATGAGGTTGAGTTCAAACCCGAGTGTATATGGAAAGCTTGAGGTATTCTGCACTGTGCCAGGCACCTGTTCTCTCTAGAGCTTAGAGATCCAAATGAGATTCTCATCAACTCTGCTGATGGTGAAGCCCAAGTGGGAAAACTGCTCTGACATCCCACAGAAACTGTGTGAGACACAGTGAAGGGACTGACACAGCTACAGGATTACTGTTGTGCGGGATGGTCAATCCAGCACTCAAACAGCTCTTCAAATTCCAGAGAGGGGGTGCGCCTCCCCTCCATGGAAACCCACAACCACTGCCATTTCAGACACTGTCCTCAGATCCTCAGCATTCCACGTGTACCTCCTCCCACTCTCTCAAGGACGCAGTTTACAGACAGAAACACCAGCAGGCTAAACAAAGTGATATGCCTCCAAACGGGAACAAAATTAAGAATTAAAGAGGAAATCCAGGGTTCTTATGGGGCCCTGGTCCCTGCCAGGAGCTCAGCCCACCTCACTGGACAGCCATGGCTGCACTGCTCCACCCCACTGTCTGGGCCTCCCACACCAGCTCTTCCAGTGAGAGCTTACACAGAAGAAAGACCATACAGTGGATGGGCAGCAAAGCTTGGGCTTTTTGAGACGGCAGCTTCTCTGCGACCAGGCTGACCTTGGCCTCAAGGGCTCGTGGCGACAGCTGTCTTTTGAGTTGCACCTGTGTCGCGGGGGCTGGGTTCGGCCCAAGGTTAAATCTGATAGCGACTCCTTTGCAACCCGCATTTAACTGTGCCAGGCTCTAAACCCAGCATTTCACTATTCCTCACACTCACTCCTCGTCTCTCAAAAGGGGAAACTGAGGCTCACAAAGACGCTCGCTGCGGCCTGCGGTCAGGGATGGGGGAAGGGTCGCGGCTTTCCTGATCTATCCCATCCCGGCCCCGCTGTCCCTGCTCAGGTCTCGCCTGTGGTCCTCCCGCGGACACGCACGTGGGGCCGGGACTGGGCCGCAGCCGGGTCACGTGACGGCTGGGGCCTCGGGGCGCCGAGGCGGTTGGGGGTCGGGACCCTCCTCTCTCCCAGCGGCCACCTCCCTTCCACCCCGCCTCGCGCTACTCACCCGGGGCGGGGACTCCCGGGACCCTGGAGTAAAGGACGGGGAAGAGGAAGAGAGGGCGGCGGCGGCGAGGACCCCTACGAGCCCACGGCGGCTCCGCCAGAACACTACCAGACCCGACACCTCGCGGGGCGCGCTGCCTTTGTCCGCCACGTCACTTCCGGGCGTCCAGGGGGCGGATCCACAGATAGCCCCGCCTCTGAGACAGCTAGCCCCGCCCCGCGACCCGAGAGCCTAACTTTTAGCTCAGTGCCTAACTTTTGTCTTTTGCAAAACCTCCTTTCGCAGGACCTCCTGGACATCAGGATTTAAAAGAGCCACGGTATGGGTCTCTTCCTGCTCCAGTGCACTTAGAGGCTGCAGGCTGGGCTTTTTTTTTTTTTTTGAGATGGGGGGCATTTTTTTTTTTTTTTAATTCCAGGCTGGCCTCGAACTTGGCGATCCTTTTGCCTTAACCTTCCAGATTCTGGGATTACAGGCGTGAGCCACCACACCCAGCAAGGCTGGACTCCTAAAATCGAGTGTTAAGTGGGTTTCCACTGAGTGAAAAAGAAAGAAAAGACCATTGTTGCTCAGATCTACCCAATCCCATTAGCATCTTAGAATAATATACCAGAAAGAGAAAGAGAAGGGGAAGGGGAGGAAGGGGAAGAGGAAGGAGAGTAAAGGTTGCCAGCCCAAATAAGCAGAGTCCGTGAAGTTTCCATTCCAAAAGGGTTGCCCTTCCCTAGGCTCACAGGAACTGGGATGGTCTTGGAGCAGTCATGATGGACATGCAGCCAGGTAGACCCTGTGGACATCTGAGCTTCAGTCTCCTCTTCCTCCGGATGGATGTAATAATGACTCACTTCTGATGCTGTGGGATAGAGCCCAGCACTTGCAGCGGGCTCTCAGAAAATGAAAGCAATTGTAACAATATCCATTTTAAGGAACCTCCTGTTCTCCGAACTAACATCCTGGTGTTAGATGTACAATACCTTCCTCTGGGCGATGCACACGGAAGGCGCTTAAAGTATGTGGGATTTTTTGAGACAGGGTCTCAGTAAATTGCTTGGGGTGACCTGGAACTCCACAATCCTCCAACCTCAGCCTCCTGAAGGTTGGGATTACAGGCACGTACCACCATGCCCAGAATGTTTGCCTGAATATAATGAAAGCTGTGGGGGCTTGGGGGGGGTTGCTGAAAAGCCCATCCAGTGTTAAAGTCCCTCTAGACTATTGTAGGTCACATGTGGTTCCCCTGGTATGGCCCAGGTTCCTCCCCCAAGCTTCATTTTCCATGTTCCCTTTCCATGAAAGGAGCTAGATTCTGGTCAGTTTTAACACCCAGGTATCTAGAATCCTCTTTTGGAGGGTAGCTCTGATCCAATCTCTCACATGCCTAAAAATCTACCCCTGCCATATTTCCTGTCAGTGGAAGAGAGAGTCCTTTCCCCAGCCCAGGTTCCAAGGCCTGTCCAAGTCTGGCCAGCCCCTGACCTCAGAGCTTCTCGGGTATCTGAATTCCCAAGTTTCAAACACAGTGGTTGCTTTTTTTTTCATTTTTCGAATTATTTTTTTAAAATCATTGTTTTTATTTTCAAGTTATAAAATTATAACCTGCGCTGGGTTCCATTCCCAGCGCAGCCATGCCTGTGAAATTCCTAATTATACCCTTGCCCCTCACCCCAGTTTCACAATACCATGGGCCTCCGCCCTGCCTTTCCCAGCCAAGAGTTACAGATCAGCCCCACCAGCCAATTTTTTCCACAGAGACCCAAGAAAGGAGAAACTTGTCCAGCATCCTGTACCGAAGAGAAGCAGAGCGTGTACTTGAATGTGTTCTTACCACCCCATCTAGGAGGGAAGTTGTCTTTCCAGAACCACTTGGCCAAACAGGACCCACTTCTGCCCCGGAATCCGAAAAGTTGGCTGAAGCTGGGCCCTTCCTCCCTGGTTTAGGACTGGCTGACCCGACCAGGAGTTCCAAGGCTCCTGTGGCTGCAGCGGAGGCATCCAGATGAGGACAGCCCCGCCTTGCCCCAGGCCTCAGCGCCCACTGCCCCTCAGTGCCATGGGTGACAGGTGGATCACAATGACTCTTAAGAGGCTCTGTGGCAGCTGGGAAGAGGCAGCAGAGGGAGCAAGAAGGAAGATGGGCTCTCTCAAGGACTAGCTTGCCTGTTAGAGGGCTCTAAAGTCACAGGACCTTCAGTGGCCTCACCAGAAGTCCATACACAATGAGTGTGAACACGCCCAGGACCCAGATCAGAACTGACAGCAATCTGGGTGTGGGGTGTGGGGGAAGAAGGGAGGCCTAGCGAGCCCGCAGTGGGAGAGCTAAGATGGGCTGGGGCTCTGTCTCCCTAAGGAGGAGTTTGTTAAAAGTGTATGTCTGGGCTGGGGGTGTGGCTCTGTGGTTAGAGCCCTTTCCTGGCAGGCCCTGGCTTGCATGGGCTGGATTCCATGAAGGTGGGGGTGGGGGTCCTGGCTCCACTCAGACCCACTGCATCAGAATCTGGGGTGGGAGGTGGAGAAAGTGGAGGGTATTTCCAGAAAGCTCAGTCAGGGGGCTCCAGGGCAGTTGCGGGATTGGGATCCGAATTCCGGGTGGAGAGCTTTTCACAGTACCAGCCCAGGGGACAGGGACTCAATACTCAGAGACATCCACCACCGTGAGGGTCCTTGCTGTCACACAGCCGCTGCTCGCCTTGCCCCATTCCAGAGCGGTGGGAGCAGGCGGGAACAAGGGAATTGGCTCTCCTAGGTCTCCTAGGACCAGAGCTGAAACACCTAAGTAACAATAATTTTTCAAAGCTAACATTGGCAGCCAGTCTTTGTTGAGCGGGTCCGATGTGCCCGGCACTGTTCTAAGCGACCGGCCGGTACCCGCTCCTGTAAACGTCACAGCAAATTTTCAGGTGAGGAAACAGAGGCTGCTCCGGCTCTAGCCTAAAGCCACTGTCCGCCAGGCGCGGGCGTTACCTCCGATCCACATTGCCCCACACTGGGCGCTATGGCCTGGGAGCCGCTGTCTGCCCTCCCCGCCACCTCACTCACCACCCCGCGCCCACGCTGGCCTGAAGATGTCCTGAGCTGAGCACAGGACCAAACATGTCCCGGCGTCACCCCGGCCCGGTGGCCCAGGAGGTGGCGCCCAAGGGGTGTCCTCGCGCTGGCGATCGATGGAGAACCCCGTTGCTGCCCAAGCTGACCTCGCCCGAGCTGCGGGCGGCGCGAGGTGCGGGGGGCGGCGGCTCGTGGTGGCAGGACCGCGACCCCGATCCCCGGGTGGGCTTCAGGAGCCCCGCTCAGCGCCTGCCCGCCCTGCACACCGTGACCCCGCCGGTGGCGCGGAAGTGCAAGGGGCTGAGGTCCCTGCTGCTGCCGCCCTTGCTCGTGGCCGGCGCGCCTCGGGGATCGCCGTCCCGGTGCCGCCCGCCTGCGGAGGTCCGGGCCCCGCGCAGGGGCGCGGCTGGGGAGGTCCCCGACTCCCTGGGCGCGCTCCTGGGTGAGCTCCTCCCCAGCAGGTTCCGGGAGTTCCTGCTGCAGCTGCGGGCCAAGTGTGCGGAGCTGCCCGAGCCGCAGAGTGAGGCCCCGCGGGGCCCAGGGACCGGGCGGGTCGTTTCCGGCGAGGGTGGCCCCGGGCCCTGGCCTCCCCCACCCTGGGGCTCGGAGGCTGCTGGCTGAAGTTAGCTGAGGATCTCGCCTAGTCCTCAGAACCCTCTCTGAGGGTCTACCATCGCCCCAGGGTCATAGAAGTAGAGGCCTCTGGGAAGCGTTGTCCCCAGCTCATGACTTCCTCCTCCCTTGGCTCTCAGAACCACAATCTGACTACCGGCGGCGTGTGTCAGAGCACTGCCGAGGGTCTCCCCAGTGTCCCAACTGCCCATTCCTCCCAGATCTGTGGTAAGTGCAGGGACCTTCCTGGTGGGGACAGGGTTGCCCTGGGTGCTTCTAGGGTGGGGCACCGTTCATGCCAGGCACGGATGGCCTATTTATTTGTCTTCAAGGGACCAATCACCACACTTGGAGGACAGTCTTAAGAGTTTCCTCTATCAGAAACCTACCCTAAGAGGTGATCGCTCCCAGTTCACCACGGTGAAAAAGACCAACCAGTGAGTCATAGGAGGGACAAGGATGGGGAGGAAGGGCAATTATTTTCCTCCCCTTATGTCGTCTGTCTTCCACCCATAGGTTATCCATTTATCCATCCATCTAGTAATCAGGTCTTCTACCAGCACATTCAGAATCTATTCATACATCCTCACATACATCTCATCCACAAACGAGGTCTTCTACAACTACTCATGAATCTCTCCATCCACCTGTCCACCCGTCCACCCACCCATGCACCCACCCAACCATCCACCCATCCATCACCCATCCATCCATCCATCCATCCATTAGTCATGAACCCACGACTCCATCCATCTATCCATTCAGCCAGTCTTCCACCTATTCACAAACAGCCTTTGTATCTATCTGTCCATGAATCCAATAACCAACCATCTATAAATCCTTCCATTCACTTGTAAATCCAGGACACTATCCATCCCTCATCTAGTGATAGAGCCATCCACAGATCTACATAATCATCCAGCTATCACGATTCAGTTCTATTCAGATTGTGTCATTAATCCATCCATGAGTCCATCCATCCATCTTCCCATCCCACCATCATTCATCCTTTTCTTCTTCCAACTTTTGTTAGGTTACTATGTATCAAATACTGGGGAAATAAAATAAAGGATGAGGTTAGGGGAGTCTGGGCTTTCCAGCTTCCTGGGGCCTAGATGCCAGAGCTCTTAATGGAGGGGATGGGGGGTAACCAGAAAGAATTTCCTGCAGGCTGAAGCAGGGGTGAAGAATACTGCCTGTGAGTTTAAACATAAAAACATAACATACATACCATCCCTTCTCATCCCATACCATGGCAGACAGTACTAATGGATCATAGCACATTTCTTTGCTGAGCCTCAGAACCCTTCCTGACACCCTTTCCTAGGTAGACACCACCTATGGATCAGGAGCAAGGACCAGAGTTGAGCACCTAGCTGTGTGTGAGATTCCCTGCTGGGCCCTGTGGGGACCCTGGGGTGCATTAGAACAGGCTCCAGCAGTCCTCCCTGGTGGAGAAGCCACGCTCTCGCGCTGGC